AGCCTTGGGCATGATGAGAATTCATGCTCATATTGCACGTGATGACAAAGCATGTGATCATAGCATCCAGGGCATAAGAGGCAGCCGGGGCCTCAGTGCAGTCAAAGACAGATCCACAAATTCTGTAGGAGGTTTTATTCTACCCTGAGATTTCCCCTACTGTGTTAGGGCAGCATTGCTGTTTGTAGGTTGGCTTTGCCCTGAGAAATGTACCAGTGACAGAAGTGGTAGTTTGAGTTTGTAACTGTTTCAAATAGTATCGTACACTTTGCTTTTGCCATCCGATCTCCTTCCGTTTTGCCTTTGCTTTCCAAGTGGCCTCGGCCCTCACTCCAACCACCAGTATTTCTGCACCTACAGAGACTCAGTGCCATCACAGACAGCGGCTAGGTTCATGTGCTTTCTATAAATGTAGGAAAACATATAATATTGCCATCTTTAGAGATAATGTACTTGGGTGATCTGACTTGCTTCTGTGTTTCTTACAGTCTGTGATGGCAGCCAAAGGAGGCAGAATTTCTGCCATCTCTTTTGCATTCAATCTATGGGCATTTTTGCTGGTATTCTTGCCAGAAGCACACAGTCTTTCCTTCAGAATGTTGAAAAATGGAATATCTCAAACTCAAAGGATTTCAGCAGAAAATCTGATTTTTAGGCAAGTCAGAGTTCACCACCACAGTGCTTACAGGAGGTGCAGTTTAGATATGCTCTCCGGACAGTGTATGCTCTTTCCTTAGCCAGCAGCTCTCACAGTACTTCATCAACTCATCCTGGGAGAGAGAGGTACCATCCCAAGAAAGAACCTCTCAGAGAGGAGAATGGGAGTGTGAGTCAGATGTATTCCATTCCTCAGGAAATATTCAGATCTGAAATACTTCAGACTTATCTGAGAGTGCTCAGATTTTTCAACCAAACAACCCAACCATTCCTGTGGAAATATTATGTCCACCTTCTCCTCTACTTCTTTTCTCTGTAGTGTACACTTCTCCAGAATCAGTACCTAATCTGGCTCTTCCTCTTGTGTTACCCACTCTCCTTATTTGAGGAACTACACTATAGGCCTTTGCTATATCTCCAAGTGGCACTTGGCATTCCATTCTGATGCTATGCTAAACAGTAAACTGAGAGTAAGGACCCTCTTTTCTGGACTGATCTCCAGACAAAAGGATCCAAAACACATAATTAGACAGAGGGACTTTAGGGGGTGACTATATTTTGCCTGCATGAGAAAATGCTTAGCTTTTCAAGGAGTGCTTGACTGCTTAGACTTGATTTGGATGCAGCAGATCTTTGTGTTTTCCTCCTGTATGTGTGCGCCAGTAGTGTCTATGTAGATAAAGTCTGTAATAATTATCCCTAGAGTTGTGGGTTTTTATTGTTTGTTTGTTTTATGTTTGTTGAAAGCTGATGCAGTGATTGTTATTCACAGTTACTGTCGGTGGAACTGGTTATTTCTCCTCATCCATCAGCACAGTTTGCTGTCATCAGCGCAAGATCATCTCTCTTAACTCAGCCATGCTGTTCAGCAGGTGCATGCTTCTTTCCAAACAACGTTACACCTCAGTAGTCATTTTACTCTCATGCCTCAGCTCTATTTTTCTTGGATTAGTTGGGATCTTACCTTGAGAAGGTGCATCAGAAGGCTCACTGTGGGATTCATGATTTGTTTGATTGATCGGTTCTTGAGAGGCAGTGCTAGAACTAACAGTGTCCTGAACACTTGCAGGGTTAAATAACTGTGGTTTTGAGAGCCTTGGGGTGAGTCAGTGGAAAAAACTGGCAGCTCTAGGAAGGATAAGAGTGACTCATAATCAAAGAAGAGCCTAAGGAACTCCAAATCCAGCTGCAGTTTAGGAAGGGGAATGTTAGAAAAGGCATTTGCATGCAATTGTGTTTTATTGCTCCAGCAATGTGACCACACCCTGAAGTGGAGAGAGATGTCTCACACTTAACAAATGGAAAGAGTATCCTGTCAGTCCTCAGTGCTCTGCCAATTTCTCTGTCTAATGGGAGGAAAAGTCCATACCGTACAGTCAGAGGCAGAGATGACTTTATTTCAATGCCATTCAACCACTGGTCCTTTGAGATTGTTCTCCGGTGCTTTATTTAAAAGGAAGAGAAGGATGAAAGAAGGGGAAAGTGAATAGAGAGGGAGGCTTGTGCTTTAACTCACAAAGATTCAAAACTAAGCTGTGAACATATAACCCCAGGGTGGTTGTATTTGATAGCATGTGTATTCAGGGAAAGGTGCTGATGATCTCAGGAAGGAGGTACATTGAAATCATCTCAGCAAACAGTTCTCTCAAGCAGTGTGAGAACTGGGCAGAAAAAAAAAACAACAAACCAACAAAGGGAACAAAGGATTTGGTTTTTTTCTTAGCATATTGGCCACAGTTCTGTGTGTGAATTTTTCTTTACACTGTGAAGTCATATTTTCTATCACTTTCATCATACAGAAAATGCATTCCAAAGCATTATTCTAGTCCTTTAGAGTATCATGAAAGTAGGTCTCCAGTCTTTCAAGCACAGGTTTTTTTTTGAAGCTCCTCAAAAATAATCAGCAAAAAAAAAATTGCTGAATTCATTTCTAAAGAAACTTGGAAAAGTACACCTATCTAGGAAAGAAAGTTTAGCCACTGTTCCATAAAGGCACAGCAGGAAGATCTGCCACGATTTGGTGTATATATATCAGTACATCATGGTGAGAACAGCATTCATTACACCCTATGTAAGAACCAAGGTGCTGAGAAGCAAGGATGACGAGCAGTCAAAGGGATGAGAGCATTTGATTCAAGTGCTCTATTCAAGGTTCCTGCTGTAGATAGATATATAACTTCATCATGGCAAGAGCAATGGTTTCTCAGCTCAAGTGGAGCTATCTAGATCAGTTCCCATCCAGCACTTTGAAACGCACATTTCTTTTGCAGTCAATGAAAAGAAGGAGTTTAACGCTCAGGTCAAATGTATTTATGAGGTAGCCTGCATATAGTAGTGAAAAATTGGCTTCTAGCAATGCTGAACATACACAAATGTCCATCATTAGAGTCAGAGAGGATCTCCTATGGCTGTACTTCCTCCCAGATCATCAAGGGAGGCACTGCAATGAAAGAAGTCATCATCAGTATCCAGGCCATCCAGATAAATCAAGTTCTAGAGCACGGGGAGTATTGCTAGGACGCCCCAAAGCAGGCAAATAAGCCAGGCTAGCATTCACCAAGCCAGGGCTAAACTCCCTAAGTTCTCCCAAGTGAGAGAAACTTCACTGTTGGTGAAGATTTTCCTAAGGAGATATAGGACCAGTCACTGGACCTTATTTGTCCTTGTAAGGAATGATCTTGTTTGAATAGGAGGAATGCGTAACAAAGGCAATTCCCTTGAGTTCTTGAACTCAAGGCTAACACTGGCTTTGGATAAAGTGCCACTGGTGGATAAGAAATCTGCCCACCCACTGTGGTTTGGGAAAACTATATCCAAAGCAGTGCAAGGAGCAGCTGCAGTATTTTACAGGAATACACTCCCACTTACAGTCACGATGAAAGCACCCCCCCCCCCCCCCCCAAACAAAAACAAAAACAAAAAACAGGATTGGAAAAGGTGGAGTCAGTGAGTAAATAATAAAAATAGGGGACTTTAAAAAGCTTTTTGTCATAGTTTGAGCGAAAGACATCATGAAAAATAATTGTATTGTTCCATGACGGTTACCACACCCTGTACACCCTGTACAAATGGTGACAGCATCAAACTTTATTACCTGAGTCACCTGCACCCAAATAACTTGACAGCCAACATTAATCAAATGCTTGACACTGCTCTTCAGTAGTACTTTAGTATCATCATTACCAAGAGATAGAACAACTTCACCCCGTGAAACTTTCTAGGAAGCAGTCTTACAGTGTTTATAGGGTGGGCCCAGCAAATTTTCCTGTCTGATTTCTGTGGTTGTGCTACTTGATTACTGCTACATTTCTGGGAGGACAGGAAATATTCTCACTCACTTTGCATGAATTACCTGCACTTGCTCCCTCAGCTGAGATTTGTTCACTGTATTTCACATTGTCAGGGGAGAAGGCAATAGCCGTAATAAATAGTGTCATGAGTGCTATCTAAAGTAGATACCCCTCCCAAAAACCTTGTCTTTGCAGTGGCATGTTCATCAATGATAATGAATCTTAGAAATAGTAAAAGATGCAGAGTATGGAGGAAAAACAAGAAATCTGCATTACAAGCGAGTTACTGCAGTAATAATGTGATCTGCATGCCTCAAGTTTTTAAAGGGAAATAAACAGTCTTCTGTGCTAACCTAAGCATCTTCCTCTACCCCAGAACACCTCAGTGGTGTTTCTATTCTGGTTATTCTCCTCTACATAAGGGATCAGGCCATTGAATATGAGCAGTTCCCCAGACCATTTTCTACCAATGCTCAGCATGTGATGTACCAAAGGAATGCTCCTCCTCCATTCTGCACTACCTGTCCCACGTCCCAGACTGAATGGTGGAGGCTGTACAGCAAAAGGGAAAGGGACAACAGGAAGAGAAAATCTTTCCTGACCTCCGTGGGCAAAAGCTCTACTTCCTGGAGTGCAGGCCTGTAGTATGTCATTTTTACTTTACAGAACCACACTCCAATTTAAGCAACCTATGTATATACACAGGCTATTTTTACAGCGCTCCAAAGCTATCCACCCCTGCTCTACATCTCTTCCTAGTCTGGTTCCTTTACCTCCAGGCTTTGTTTAACTGCTGGAGGAACTACCATGCAGCTTCTGAAAAAGTTTTTAACTATGGTTTTTTGTTTGCTTGCTTTTTATGCTTACATGCTTACAGAGTGAAATTAAAATCAGCCTTTTTTGTCACGTGTAAATAAAGCTTACGTCCCTGTTCATTGTAGGGGAGTTGGACTAGCTGACTTTGAAGGGTCTCTTCCAACTGGAGAGATTCTGTGATTCTATTCCTTGATTCTGGCCCTACCTTCATCTTCTCCTTCTGCTCTTGTTCTTCAGATTTCTCTGCACTGGTGTCACCACCTAGGAAGGATCCAAGATGTTGGTACTACTGGCTGGTATCTTTGTGGTTCACATTGCCACCGTCGTCATGCTCTTCGTCTCCACCATTGCCAACGTAAGTAGGGGCTACCCTGGATGAGCCACGGAGCTTAGTTGTCGCCTGCTGCATTAGTAGCTAACGACAGGGCTGGAAGCGGGACAGGTGCTTGGGTCTGGAGACTGAAAGCCTGCGGCCCAAGCACACGTCGACAGCGGGAGCAAGTGGCCTTGTCAGCGCCGCCAAAGGCGCAGGGGAGGCGCCGGGCACTCCGCGCCAGACCCCGCAGCCGCGGAGCAGAGGGCCGGGGCTGGGCGAGGCCGTGCCCGGGGCGATGGTGACCCCTGGCGGCTCCTCGGCCCGAGCCGGGGCACGGTTGCACACATCGCCACGGGAGGTTACAGCTCTTCTGCCGTCTCATGCTAGGCGAGGCAGAGGACAGATAACCTCTGCGATTTCTGCTGTAGCATGGGAACAGATTTTTCTTGTGTTTTGTCTGGACTAAATGCCCCTTGACATTCAAAGCCTGTGTCAGCTCCCACCCAACCCGGCTGTCACTGACATACTCCGTCTCATTCAGCTCTCAATCTTGTGGCACTTGAGCTGTGGCTGCTCCCCTTTACAGTTTAATTGTGGTTAAGGTGGTGCAGTCACCGTGCCTGGAGGTGTTCAAGAACCATGTGGATGTGGCACTGACGGACATAGTGGGGATGGGCTGACGATTGGACTTCGTGATCCTAGTGGTCTTTTCCAATCTTAATGATTCTATGATTCTGATCTCACAACAGGGCAAAGGGTCCCAGTCGGAGGCACAGAGCTCTCTCCCTCATAACACAGTTGTGTCATTGTGTTTCAGGTTTGGATGGTGGGTAGGAATTCCACTGGAAATGCCTCCTGGGGACTCTGGATGTGGTGCAACAACACCTGTGAGTCGCTGTCACCCAGTGGGGGCAATGCTGGTGAGTAATACCTCCACTTTTGTTGTGGTGATGTCTTGCCATGCTTTGTCATGCAGTGTCAAAGCTGAGCCCTGACCTTCTCAAATCTGCTCTGTTGGCAGCTTCCCTCAAAGCAGCGCAAGCCTTCATGATCCTCTCAATCATTTTCTCCGTCATCGCTCTTGTTACATTCATTGTCCAGCTGTTCACCCTGGAGAAAGGCAAACGTTTCTACATCACTGGAGCCATCACGCTGGTTTGCTGTAAGTACACATGCTGGGCAATGGCTCTTCATGCTTCCCGGTGCCTCTGCAAGCACAACAGGCCACATGTCTGCCACTCATGGCCACCAGGGAAGTTGTCAGCCAGCTAAAAGCTTTCAGTGGCCCACTTTTTGATTTAAAAAAAAAAAAAAAAAAAGCATAGAGCGCTCTGGGCAGCCTGATCTGGTGGGTGGTAACCTTGGCCACAGCAGGGTGACTAGAACAGGATGACCTTCAAGGTCCCTTCCAAGTCATTCTAAGATTCTATGATTCATAGAGGAACTAGAAAGTGATCTCCATATATTTTTAATTTAATTTAAATAATGAAATTATTTCCAGATTTTCATTAGACAATCCCAGTGAGTTCTGCAAATTCTCTTCATAAAAGAACAAAAAGCATTCAAGTATTACAGAGGGCAGGGAAATAAACAGTTAGATTGCTACTGCTCATGGGATTCAGTACATAGCACCAAACTGTCTGCAGATCTTATTACCTGATTACTTATTTCGTCTTAACAAAAGTTTATTCCCCCATGGCATCCACTAAACAAGACCCAAGTGTCTTACGTCACCAAGTCCACAAGAGGAATTCTTTTGAAATAAGCCTAATGGATTGCAGCCCCTCTCTCAGATGACATAAGATATGCATTACAATCTCAATCCAGAATATTACCTCAAATGTCCTACAGCAATGCTGGTTTTTATATATTTTCCAATTCTTTCTTTTCCCTTCTTTCCTTCAGGGATCTGCATTCTGATTGGAGTCTCCATTTACACAGCTCGATTCACAAAAAATCAGTCTGTGATCCAGGCAGGAGAGGTGACAAATGCTCACCACGGCTACAGCTTCATATTGGCCTGGATCTGCTTTTGCTTCAGTTTTGTCACTGGCATCCTCTACCTTGTTCTTAGGAAAAAATAAGGTCGATGAGAGTCCTGGGGAGAGGGTTGGCTGCTGGGAATGGGGAACAATTGCTCTGCCGAGAGAACTTTTGGATAAATAGAAAGAACAGGAACAGTCACCATCACCACTACTGCCACCACCATTACAAAACAACAAAACTAGAATCTTCAGAAACTCATTCACCAAAGAGCAGGAGGAACAGAACTGACTGATCTCTCATTCCTGGGGCTGCTACACCAGAAATCTGCAAGTGACCCAGACAGCTGTTCTCCTTTTCTATCATAACTTCACAAACATTCAAGCCCAGCAGTGATGACTGAAGAGCACCGAAAAAATGAGGGCTACATCTTTTTCCCTGTCTAGAGCCCTTCCCACTTGCCTTTCAGTGTGCCTGGTGGGTTGGGCATTCAGGCTTACAACTCCCTTTTTTGTCTATTGAAACAAATGGGATGGGACTTTTGTTACGTTTATATATATATACATATATATATATATGTATGCACATATATGAAAGACATTACATTGAGAAACAACCCAATAGAAATCAGATTAAATTAGTATTAAAAATACTACGGGAACAAGGCAGCTATTTTTTTTTTTTTTTTTTTTTAGTTTTTATTTTTTTGCTGTTCTGTTTCCTATTTGACATTCCCATGGTTGAATCAAATACTGGTATGAAGGGCAAGTATACAAATATACAAGCATGGAGGATGGAGAGAAAGAGAGAGAAAGAGAGAGGGCGGGAGACATACACAGGGGTTCCTAAAAATAGAGAGCGCAGTTGCTCAATGATGCACGTGCAGGGAGGGAATCCTTTGGGTGTGTGTCTGCACTAAAATCTTCTGTTCAGCTCTAGTACATAGCAACAGCACTGCAACAAATGTAGGCTTTTTTTTTTTTTTTTTTCACATGAACACTCAGGACATGGTATGAATTGGGAGCCCCACCTTGTGACACAGCTCATCTCAATTGCAGATGCTACACGTTAGTAGAGGAAATGTATTCCCTTATGAGAGACTTGGAGAGATGAGACAGGACTTGTGAGTTCTGCTCCGTGCTGCACAACTTTAGGCCAGTCACTTAATCTGGTGCTTTTCCATCCTCCTAGACCTACCTCCTATGGTTGCTGAGAGATTTGGAGAACGCTCTCTGATTCAAGGTCCCCATGTGAAAGGCTGGCAGAGGATAGTCAGGCATTGTTAGTGCTGCAACCAATGCATTTCTGTCACTTTGAAGAACCTCAGTCATGAGTGGAATTCATAACGGACAAGAGGTTGAAATTTCCTGTGGCTCCATCCATAACAGAAAGGCAGAGAGTTCAAAAAACGTACAGGTGCAGTTTGTGCTCAGATACAATTGTCTCTCTCTCTCTCTCCCTCTCTCTTTCTGTTACATTTTCTTCTCATGTATACTTTATCAATTTGGTGGATTTACTCTAGTACTGTATGTTGGTGTTTCATTAACAAAGGTTATTTCATATATAGTCATTGTAAATATTTTGAAATGCATATTTTTAACTTTAAGGGTATAAAAATAAAATCTGATTCCCTTTATTATAAAGCGTTTTGCTTGTATTTTTTCTTCATTAGCATTTCAGATACTTGTTAACAGAAGTATTTGCTGTATTCTCTGAATCAAAACTCACTCCTTTAGAACAATACAAGACTACCATGCCTTGCCTGTCAGCCTCCAAGATTTCCCATTTTGGTAGGGAGGAAAAAGAACAAATTTTGAGGCTCTTTTCAGGCTTTCTGCAAGCTCAAACAGATAACACTCAGCCCCCAGAGCCAGTCTTTACTTCACATCCAAGAGAGCTGAAAATGTACTTTCTTGATCATAGAATCATAGAATTATTTGAGTAGGAAGAGAGCCTTAAAGGTCACCTAGTCCAACTCCCCTGCAATGAACAGAGACATCTACACTAGATCAGGCTGCTCAGAGCCTGGTCGGGCCTGAACTTGAGTGCCTTCAAGAATGAGGCATTCACTATGATCTGTCAGAATCTCATGTCTGTGAATGCTACTGCCTACAGTGCTGCAATATTTATTTTGTCACAGACCAATCCACAGCACAAGTGATTCCTAAAACAAAATCACCCAGGTGTTTGTCTGGGACATTTGACTTTGTAGAGCTCTGTTCTCCTTAGATTTGACCGAACACAGTAGCAACTCCAAAGCTTGTGCAAAAAGTCCAAAGCCCAGGACACAGGCAAGTCTCACCAAACTTGGAGTACAATCATGGGAGCACTGAGGTGAGACCTAGCAGGAATCTGCTTGTTAGGAACTACTTTTTTAATCAATTAACCCACCATAGGGTAACCTAAGAGACATGCTAACCAAGGGCAAAACCATGACAGGAATCTGTAGCAGGTGCAGGTCCACTGAAGAAGGACCTCATACACAGTAGGATGTGGGAAAGCTCATGGTGTGCTATGAGTGGACATTTGTTTTGGCTTAGGACGTCCCAGGAATCCTGCTGTTCCTCATCCTACTGGCACTCTAAGAAATAAAGGATAACCAAAGACCAGTTAGCTACTAGAGAATGAGGGTCTTCTGTCTACACACCAACACTAGCAGTTGGAGTGTGAGCAGGGGCATGCTAGTCAAGGAGCTGGTATCTGTATCCTGCTGTTTCTAGCATGGCACACCTGATAATATGACATCTTACAGGATGACAAGGCAATCCCAACTTTACTGGGATGCCCAAGACAGACAGCAGACAACTGTCTCAATATTTTATACAAAAGTCTACTTCTGCCTCACCACCATTGTCACTGGCAGCTTGGCAAGGATATGAAAGCTACTTGACACTCTGGGCAGCTTGTTTTGGTTCACAGGGGCTTTTAAAGGATCAGGGCACTGATCTACATTCAGTAAAAATCACTGGGTTCTCTGTCATCTAGCAAACCTTATTGATCCAGTCCCTGAAATACAATCATCACAAATGAGCCTTTGCTTCATATCTAGTAGGTCTCATTACCAGCTTCTGAGTCCTGTTACAATAGGACATGGCAGGTCAGGGAATGACATTTGCCATTGGTGGGACAGAACATACCGAACAGAAAAGCAGAAGCCCCACAAACATAAATCAAATATTAAAGAGAAAGAAGTTGAAATGGATGGGAGTAAACAGCACTACCAGTTGTGTCCTATGATTGGTGTTCACTCAGAAAGTATCTTCAACACAACCTGGAGATAAACTGACCCAACACCACACAGAATGTAAGACACAAAGTCATGGTAGTCCAGGAATAGCCATTGTAGAGATTTCAGGAACCAAGCCTCATGAGGGCCTGGACCAAAATGGAGTCAGGGACAAATCACAAAGGAGCCCTTGCACTAGGAAGAGAGGTCTAAGATACAAGAGAGGCAGAGAAACAAAATGCCTGAAGCTCCACAGCAAAGCAAATGAAGGATTCTCCCTCCTTGGTCTTTCTTCTGTATGTCACAAAGCAACACAATATAAGGAGGAAGAGATTTTCTATAAACATTAATTCATGGCATTTGACTACACTAACTCAATCAGATGAAATAACTGTCTGATTAAAAACACACCCCAGGAGTTAGCAGAATCCGTACACTGAGGAAAGCTCTGCTAGACCCAGCTTTCCTGAAACCCCTTCAGGAATGAGGGTAAACTGAAGTTCTCCAAACAGGAGAAGCTTGGTTTAATAAGGCATTGCCAGCATCAACCATTTTATTAGACACACTCAGGAGGAATGGGTGAAAGCCATTTCCATTCTCACCACAATGTAAGCAGAGCAGAGAGCTGCTGAAAATAAGTGACAGCCAAGGGGGCAAGAACAAAAGACACTCATTCTGACCAGAGCATCAGGCCATGGAGGCTGGGGAGAAACTGTCCAGTAAGTGTTCACATTAGCAGGTTTGAAATGATTTGTATGTGTTCAGAGGTATGTTGTAAGAGCTGTAGGAGAGAATTTGAGGGAGATTCCTGCTCTGTGACAGGCAGAAGCCAAAACTCGCCAAGCAAAATAACTCTGACTTCTGGGCTGATCAAGGAGTGCTGACAGCGCTGGAAACACAGATGCAATAGCACCATTACAGAATGCAGCTGCCTGACAGCACAGCCAAAACAGGAGGATGGCTTGACTCCCTTGTAGCAAAGGCAACATAACAAAAACTAAAACCAACAACAACACAAAAAACAAGCCTGCAGGGAATGGGAAGACAATGGGAGGCACAAAAGTTGATGCTGGGAGTGGTGGTAAAAGATTACGGGTCACTTCCAGCAATGCAGTAATTCTCTACTGCTGACATCCAGGGTGCAGTTAGCCCAATAATCATTTAACAGAAAAAAGTTAGAAGAAATCAACATGAAATATTGTTCCATTCAAAACATATCCAGCCCAGGAGGCAGCCCAGAAATGTATACTGTAGTTGTTTTAGTTGTGTTAGTTGGCTGCCTAATCTTAGGATTATTTACATTTGCAGCTCTGCCTTCTCAGATAATAGCAGCCAGGTACCAGTTGATTGCCAGAGGAACTGTGGAGGAATTGAATCCCAAACCCTGTGTTCCTGCATTACACAGTTGGTGAGGTGCATCACTGCAGGCAGCTCAGCTCCCAGATCTTGTCAGAGCCTTGGTTCTGGATTAGATACACCAGTGATCTGATGCATGATGACAAATCTCATGTTGCACAATTCACTCGAAGTATGTGGGTATCTGGGATAAATATACACCTTGTCATCTGTTACACTGCTTAGGAAACTTGATTGCCTTTCTGCTCAACCTAGTGCAGAAGGCTGAAGCTGGCAGCCTTCCCCCTTTGTACCCCCTTAGCAAGTAATGAAAAGGCAGTGCGGCAGGCATGATCTCTGAGAGCTGACAGGCAGGGGCCAGCATGCAGAGACATGAAGGAGCTCCAAAAAATCCCACAAGCTTGTCACATCATAGCCATGACTGGTCCTATGCAGAGCACCCTGGGAGGTGATGGCAGCCTGCAAGTCCTTCTGATGGTTAGCAGCTCCCAGAACCAGGTCCAAAGCTCTCACCAATTTTATTTACAGACTCAAGGAGATAGAAGATAGACCTAAGGGATTTTATGTTTCTAAACAGCATTTTGAAGCAGAAGAGCATTCTGGTACATTGCATAGAGGATGACCAACCATACAGAACAGCAAATTACTTTGTAGTAAAGAAACCAGAAGCTCACCACTTCACGTCCTTTAACTAGAGACAGTTTGTAGGATCTGTAAGAAAGCCAGAGTATGAAGAAGGTGAGATAGAGGTGATGAACAGGAGGCCCATCCCAGAAGCCAGAGACTACCAAGCCAAGAAGATGGCCTGGCAATCAGTCATCAGATGCTGTCATGAACAGGACAAAGAAATGGGAGATCAGACACATGAATGAAAAAGAAATAGACAGGAAGAGCAAACACTGCAGGAAAAATGAAGACCATCACAGTCCTAATGGCTTGAAGGAAGAAGAGCAGTTCAGTGGGCAGGTGATTGGAATTTGGGACGCATGAATATCACTGCTATTGTCTAAGTATACAGAGCAGCTGACACAGACAGTAGGATTTGGCAGTAGGATCTCTGCTCCAAGGCAGTGCTCGTGTGCAGACCTGATGAAAACTGGGACAAACGGTTTTAACTATCTCAGTGACAAGGACCTACATATGCTCTTTCAGCCTCACGTTAACCAAAGCCCCCAGTCCCCTGCGTAGTCACTAGAGGTCAGTGCAAGCCCAGTGATCCCTCTGCTGACTATACCGGATGATTTGAAATACGGGTGTCCCCAGCCATGGCTGGTGCTGCTTTGCCGTGATATAATTCAAAAATGGGAGCATGCCCCAGGCTCACTTGTCTGCCCTGAACCAGGCCCCTGCTGGCCTGTGGCACGTCTCATAGAAGAAGGCATGTTGGGACAGCTTGCACCGCGTAAGAAGTAGCACGATGGGAGCATTTATCACCAATGAGAAACCCACTGGGAAAAAGGAAATGGAAGAAGAAACCCTGCTTTACAAAGGTGGGGTAACGAGTGTACCCTCTCTAGCCTTCATGGCCACACAGATGGCCACAGCTCAATTCCCTGGCCACTGAGAGCAGTTTTGGGCTCAAGATGATAAATGAGTTTCTTGCCCAGTCCTGCAGTTAATGCCATTCCCTCTGCTCTGTACTGTTGTTAAACTGAGGCAGAAAAATTGCTTTGAGCTGATGCAAACTGGCTGGAAACAGAACATGGAGGGGATGCTGTAATGATCTGGAAGGGAAAGACTACAGACCAATTGGCAATGAACTTGCTACAGTTAGGCAAAGTCTGTATTTGCAGTAAATCTAGGAGTCCCTACTGCATAATTGCATGCCTGTAGTAAGACTTGACTCCTATCTTTTCTTGGGGGAGTCATTGTGTGTGTTGGAGCTCCAAAACCAGGGGACAGATGAAGCTGAGAATAGGAGAAGCTAACCATGGGAGAATTAAAAAAATATGTTTTTCCACTTAAAGGATTTTGCAAAATATAAATATCTTGCTTGATTCTGTCACCAAGGCTCTGGCAGGAGTGAGAGAAGTCAAAAAGAGCCCTGGCTTTGTGGAGTTC